ACGGTGTCTGACGTACAATCCCGTGCCAGTAAGTAAATGAAAAAAGCACGGGTTGTTACATAAGACCCGTGCAATAATAATTCCCTTACATTATATGAACCAAATCACCAACGTCACCTTATATCATAAAGTCTATATTTTATAGTATAGATTATCGATCATACGATTCACCCTGTAACAATAGTCATCACTTGATTGTTTAAAATTGTATAAGATCTAGAATCTTGAATTCCAGCACCAACTTTCTTGTGTGTCTAAAATAAATAAATATATTAATTAAATAAATAGACAATACTGTATATAAATTAACATTTCAAATAATTCTTTATCAATTATACTTAATTAAACTCTTTTAGAAATTCATCAACTTTTTGTGACTCTTCATTTTTATTAGCAATAGCAATAGCAAAATGTAGATCTTTTGCACATTTACTTTTAACTTCTTTTGTATTAATATATTTTTTATAACCTTTGATATTTGATACTTTCTTAGTAAATTCTTGACATCTGTTAACACGTTTTCAAACCGTTAAATACGACATAATATCCTTTTCTTCATCACTTTCTATATTTATTCAATGGCATTTTACTCGATTTGTTATAATTCGACAAAATTTTTTATTACACTTTGCTCTCTTAAATTCGATAAATTTATTTAGCTATAATCAGTGTTGGGCAGGCTATTATGTCCAATTGTTTTCAAAGTCAATTGGACATATGTCCAAAATAAATTGGACATATGGTTGAAAATGACCTTACGGGACATAGTAAATCATATGATCAAACTTGATTTTCAAGGAACAGACCCCATATGTCCAAATCAATTGGACATCAAAATTGCCCAACACTGGCTATAATATTTATCGTGCCGCCTATAGAGTAGAGTGTCCAGGGGTCTGTGGCGGCAGAATCTGCGCAGAATTCTGCTTTTGGCGCAGTTCTGCCTGCTCAAGAAGAAATAAATGATTGGAGAACATAGTCTATTGTGATAAAATTAGAATTTTCTTTTTGTCATGGTTTTGTTGTGATTTTGTTTTTAAAGTATTATTTATATGCCGCCGCAGAATTCACAAATCTAACAGTAATTGCAGCAGAATTTGTCGGTTAGGGCAGCAGTCCCCTGGACACTCTACACAAGAGTTTTTACCTATGCTGTAAATGATCACAAACATAAATACCACCCATTACAGGTTTGTATGTATAAAAAATTAGAACACGTACGTACGTACCAGTATATTATTTTTTTTCTGCTAATATATATGGGTGAAAAATATACATATATATTTTAACAATAATTCTCAAATGATTAATAAAAATAAATCTGAATTAGCGATAATGATTAACAAAATTTATTGTTATCGTTGTACGTACATACATACATAATTTGTCCACGTAAAATTTATCTGTGAGATGGGGCACAGGCATATGATGCTACATATTACAGGTTTGTACGTATAATAAAAAAATTAGCCACATTATATTTTTTCTGTTAATATATAACAATGAGAGAATATTGTATACTTACAAATAAAAACAAACAAAATTGCTTTGAAAAGTGGCACATCTTTAGAGGTTGGAAGCATGGATGTAAGGTCTGTGACAAATGCGATCACCATTTACATCTATATTGTAAGACATGCAAAAAAGTAGCGAATGGAATATATAAGCGATGTGAATGTAATAATTTTCTAAGGGAATCTCGAATAAATAAATCCGAATTAGCGATTTGGTGATACGTAGTTTAAATTTATCGTTATAGTTATACATTATTTGTCCACGTTCGTTAGCGTAATAATTCCGCATATAAAATTTCTCTGTATCACCTTACAAGGCTTATCATACATGATTTATCTGTGAGACGGGGCACAATCTCAAAGTGATATTTTTCATTTTCCTGGAATTAGTACTTAACCAAAGTCAGTCAATTAACTCATGCCAGATCTATTCATCATTTTGTGGAGAATTCAATCCGGACCGAAACCTTATCTGGCCTAAATGCACACAATGTATGTATGTACGACGGAGTAGATTTTGACCTTATATAGCTCTATAACTCGTGATGCATATATTTCATAATTTATAGAATTCTTCTGCATTATCGATAGAAATTTCTTTGCGTGGAAATACATATCTCAACTTCCATCATAGAAATTTTTTGATGTAAGATTGCGTGTTTTTGCTTCAATCTAACCTTTCTAGCATTTTGAGTTTCAGTGAAGAGATGAAAGAAAATATATAAAAGGGCAGTATTGTGATTATTTATTCCTTTATTAAATTTTCTTTATTGCTTTTACCATACACATTAATAAAAACATCTATTATTTTTTTGCGCTTTTTTTAATCATGTCTATTGAGTTACAAACAAAACTTCGTAATTTCTTAATTAATGCAGAAGAACAGCATATAACCTCAGGATCAGTCATCTATAAAGCTATAGAAGATAATCCATGGATAGAAAAAGATGAATTGAAAGATATTATAAAAAAGGCGATATCATTTGCTAAAAAGAGAAGTATTCAGGGTTCCTTGCGATACGAGATACTTTGTGATATTCTTCCAGAGGTGAGATAGCAAATTTTTATAAATATATAAGTTGTATTGGATGATGTTTACACAGACAGTGGTGCCACTGAGAAAGAGAGTATAATAGCTTAGGTTCCCTATAGCCTGCCAACAGGATTTTTCCTCGACAGTGGGAGGGTTCTTTAGGCTATAAATACATGCTTAATTTTATGTTGTTATTAGCATCACACAAGATTTCATTTCTGTGATGGAGTAGCTAACCTCGCAAAAGTGGAATCTTGATTACATTCTGATAGCACATGCGCTATTGAAAAATAATCTAATTTGTACAAATAGAAACTAATTCATTTCAATGTCCGTTTTAGTTCGATATTTCATACAAAACAGTCAATAGTTTCCGTGCTCTCGGAATTGTAAAAGTAAATGACGAAAAGCCTCTCACTTCGGAACAAATTCAGAAAAATATCAATAAGTTGAAATCGAAGTTAAAAAAGAAATGGAATGAGAACGTACTATATCAGGATTTATTTTCGGCTATAAATAAAGTATCTGTATCAAAATTAACTTGGAAGGATCCGTTGGGAAGTCAAGTTATTTCTGACTATTCGGATATAGTACAAAATTTGTCCCCTGACTCGCAGAAATCTTTTATGGTAGGCATTGAATGTCGATCTAAAGAACATGAATAGTATTCTAACACAATCTGTCATTAGAAAGTAGTTCCAAACATGGTGCCTGAATCTCTTCCGCCAATCGTAGAAAATAGATGCGGTGAATTTGTAAGGAATTTCGTTACTTGTGGTCATACTCAGTTACCTCAGGCACTTATACATGATGGAAAATAGAAGGAGTCAGACGAAAAGTTAGCTGAAGTCATGAGTAGGATCTTGGAAACATTGTAAGAAATTTGGTAATCTCTATAATGTTAATTATCTATTCTATTAATCTATTCCTTTTTAGGAATAACTCTTGGAATAATCCGGCATTTGGCCCAGAACATGCTGAGTCGCTAAACGAGGGGACATATGTAACTAACATGATAGTACCCGCAATTCAAGCTTCATTAAAGAATCTTCCCTATGGAAAGAACTGCTATATTAGCACGTAAGTTAAATAATATCGAACTAATATTTTATGCTTGATATGAACTTTTTATATCTTTTATAGTTTCGAGTAACAAAGCATTGCCAGCGCGGATAGAAGGGGAGAAGAGCGATCAGAAAGACGGCCAGATATATTATTCGTTATGAAAAATAAAGGTAAAAAATATGAGCTTATGTATAGTGAGTGCTCACGTTTGTTTTGTACCTCTCAGAAGATAGATGATGATGCCGTAAAGTTATGGCGCGAAACAAACGACAGTATGTATTGGGTCTACAAGGGTTGTAGACCTGAGAAAGATGAATTTGGGATAATCGGATTACAAGTCGCAGGACCTCTGTTACGATTAACGGTACTTATTAGAGATGGTGCCAGTGTGGATCAGTATTATCACTTACATGAGTCAGAAATTCCCGTTCAATATTCAGATTCTTGTATAGTGGCGGAATTTATAAAAACTTTATTGATACTCCATAATATTTTAATCGTTAACATGACATTGATACCTCACGGGTCTTTACCCAAGTCAGAAAGGCAAAAAGAAAATAGTTCAACCGTTGATTCTGATTCAGATTAGATATTATAATATTACTGTATCATGTATTTTTTATTATATCAATAAAGAAAGTTTTCTTGCATTTTATTTTTTATAATAAAGCTGGCCAATTTTACATAGATAATCGTGTTTACTTTGCATGTGTATTTCACAAATTCATTTTATCATTTTTACAAGTGTATTTTTGAGATTAATCTGGATACATTAATATCATTGGGTATATATCGAGAATTTTTCTTGACATTTTATACTTCCTGAACTTAGTTCAGGGATTTTTATCACGTGATGTATATCCCTACGATAAAGAATTGAATATGTCTGCACCTTATATAAAACGATAGCAGACACACAATATACAATTGTTTCACTAAGAGAATTAAATACCAAACTTACAGTTGAGATTAGCGAACTTAGAAAGAAGTATGCTGAGCTTGAAGCTAAGAATATCAAAGTCGAAGCTGAGAATGCAAAATTAAAACAAGACAAAGAAGAGGTTGAAGCCAGATTCTTGAATCTAGAACAGAGAGATAGGGAAAAAACTGATCTTATCGCTAAACTGAAACATGATGTCTCACTAATCAAGGAGCAGAGCTTGCAAAACAGGGGCAATGGATATACTGACAACGCATCTGATGATGCAGAGTATCGAACATCTGATTCTGATATATACCAAGTAAAGGATAACTGTTCTTCTATACCCCCTAAAACAAATCATAATCGTGAAGACACCCCAGCATTTGATATAACTGATGATACTTCAAATTCCAACATATGTCAAGAGACAAAGACTCAGCTGGAGGCTGGTTCACGTCAATGCTCCACATCACCAATTTGTATAGAAAACAAATCGATAAAATGATCGATGAATTTCTAGACCTAAAAGAAAAAGAAAGGGTCTTTATTACAATTTATACTTTTGTTTATCACATGATCTCACGGACATCCATGTCCACAAGATCAAAGTTATAAATTTTATAAGGTTGATAGCAATCAGTAATTTTAATCTCATAGTAAACTGTACTACGTTTATAAAGAAAATAACTTCTAATTCTTGTTTCAATAGAGCATTATCTATAAAATCAGTTTTAAACAAAAGCTAAAATATTTTGGATTTATTAATAATTTCAATTTCGATTAGCTAGCAATTTGAATGGGCAATTAATCTTGAATTCTATTATAACCAACATGGATAGGTATAGCAAAGGCATTTAAGTAAATAGTTTCAAAATCTGCTGAAGATAGCAATTAAATAGTGCTACAAATCGAAAATTGCAACTAATCGAAAAGTTGACAACTAATTGATTGAAAAATTTTGGCAACTTATATTAAAATCGGATAAAAATCGAATAATCGAAAAGTTGACAACTAATCGATTACAAAATTTTTGGCAATTTGTAGCACTTCAATTAAATACAGTAATTTATCTTCAATTCTATTATAAAAATAATATAAGAACAGCTAAGAATGAAAAAGAATTCAACCAGTATTTAAAATCTGCTAAAGGTAGTATTTTGAATAGTCAAGCTAATATTTA